TTTCTTTTTTCCTTCTCTACGAGAAAGTGTCATCAGTTTGGTGGCATTCTATTGTAGAGCAGGAATCTTGATGGGGCGAGCAACAGCCAGCTGAGGAATCTGGAGAAAATAAGTTCGGAGTGAGTTCCAGATCTCTGAAGGAGGCCAAGTGTTGCTAGGCAGGTCGCATCTGGGCAAAACACAGCGGTTTAATGGTTCACCCTGACCACAAGTGGATGTTTCGGCATCTGCGAGATATGCCAGGGGTAAGTTTACTCTTTGGTTGAAACACCTATAGATTTTAGATTTCTTCGTATGCCAATGTAGGAATGAAAGTCTGTTCTCATAATAAAGTAAACAGTATTGCCGAAGGAAAAAAAAAATAAAGGTTTTATAATTGTAATTATTTGTTTTTTTTTATTTTTCTTTATTTCTTTCTGTTTTTCTTTTTAATATTAATTTTTTTTGTTCTTTCTTTTACTTTTCTATAAAAAAATATCATCAAATTAACAGTATTCTATTGTAAAGCAATGGTCAAAAATGTTCTTAAATAATTAATTTTCCAATATAACAGATTATTAATCTAAATAAAAAATTACCAGCAAGGTTGTCTAAGTAAAAAAAAAAATAACTATATCTTTTATTAATCATTCCATAAGATAAAGGTGATAAAATTTATTTTATTTAAACTATATTAAAGCATGTGTTTGTACAGTATAAGTTTATTATTTGGGAAGTCATTGATATGATTATTTAGTAATCCAGTAACTTAGAAACGAATTTTTTATATCCTTTGATTAATCTGGTGAGGTAAATTAAATGGTATAAAAATCATTAGACTCTATTTAATAAACCTCGTGTTAACTTCGATATCATGCGATCTGCCACTTTACCACCCCATCATAATTACTACATTTTATCTTATAAAAGGTAAATAAATCAATGTTAGCATATTAAATAAAATTCAAAAAAAAAAAAAAAATATATATATATATTCTAAAGTTTGATATGAATTAAGTAACTTTTTATTAATAATTTTTGATTTTTATATCTTGCAAAATATTGAGAATCAGGTTTTAAATTTTGGTTCTAAACCAAACCAGGTTTAAATTAGGTTCGAACTTATAAAACCTGATTCTTGGGTTTTAATTTGGAACCTAAAGGGTTTAAACTTAAACCAAACCTAAACTATCTTTACCATCCCTAATCATCCCAGCCACTACCTGGATTTTCAGTTGGTTCATCCGCCCACTTGCCACTAGAATCGCCAAAAGGAGTAGTTTCGAACGTTGCTGTTTCAGTAGGTTCGGTAAAACCAGCACCAGTCTCTGCAAATGAATTATCATAGGTAGACTCGCCCCAACCGGTAGCTTCCGTTTCTTGTGTATCCCAATTTGAATCTCCGACGTTTGTTGGATTAGCAGTCGCAACCATGGCAACAACAGGGTTAACACCACCAGGTGCTGTTGTGCCAGTCGCATCCCAATCACTAGGCATTTCTTGTTGTTCCCAAGGAGTTTCAAATGGTGCAACAATTTTATCCGTTGTAGTAGTAGTCTCGGCTTCTTTCTCTGCTTCTTCTGGATCACGGTAGAAGAACATATCAACCATTACATCCCATGGAGAATCTCTTGTAATGGTGCCGCGAAGACGAAGTACTTCACGAGCCAACAACCAATAGATTAAACCAATTGAATGCTTAGCCTTGTTATTGGTAGGGATCGCAACATCGACAAAACGAAGAGGAGAATCTGTATCAGATAATGCAATAACGGGAATATTAACATAAGAAGCCTCCTTGATTGCTTGATGGTCAGTCCTCGGATCAGTTACAACAATTAATCGAGGCTCTTTGAAAGATCTAGTAATGTAATTCGTAAAAGTTCCAGGAGTAAATCGACCGGCAATAGGCTGTGCACCAGTGTACGAAGCATATTTTAATACAGCACGCTGACCATATGGACGAGCTGAAATTATTACTACATCAGCGGGATTTTCAATGGCAGTAATAATACGGGCAGCGAAAATCAATTTTTCCCACGTCTTGCCAATATTAATTATATGAACACCTGGGGGAAAAAAGTTAAGCTATAAACTTAATGAATAAACTAAAAAAAATGCAATGGATGTTTTTTTGTACTATAAAATATTTTAATGGATTATTATTTTATTTTATTTTTTATTAAAAAAAAAAAATAATTACCGTCAGCACGACGCTTAAAGACATAAGGGGTCATTTGAACATTTAAGTTTTTGGCACCGATATGGCATTGCGCCGATAGGAGGAGTTGGATATCCTCCTCTGTGGCTGTTTTTCCGATTTGTATTATAAACCGACAATTCACAAATAAATTCGAATGCATAAGTATCCATTCGAGCCATCGATACTTTATATTAATATCACTATTAACAAATCAATAAGCAAAGTACCGTTCAAAACAGCTGGAAATTTAGACATCACTGTCAAACTATGGGACAGTTTTCGCTGATTCCAAAAGAGGGGAAGTTATAAGGTGCGCAAGAAATCAGAATTTATAGGAAAAAAAAAAAGGAAAAAAATACGTCATCAAAGATTGAAGATCATTAACATGTGAAATCACGTGAGTTCGCACATCGATAGTTAGAAAGTCGTTTGATTCTAGAGAACTTACCTTTGTAAGAGCAATGGGGAAAAGAAAACGTTCTTTCCGTCCACCACCTACTTATGAGACAGGAAATGATAAGTTTGACGATCAAGGTGGAAAAATAAAGGAGATCACCACCTGGGACGATGTAGAGCACGATTCAGAAGATGACTGTAAGAATTAGTTGTTCTTCCTAGACTTGTTATTCAGATCGATATTTACGTTACATAACACCTTTGGAATAGTTTATGCTGGAAGGGATCAAATTTTCCTAGATACTCATGACTCCCACAATCTTGGTATGTTTTTTTTGAAAGAGCATATGCATTTATTTTATTATAGTTTCATAAAACAGCCTTATGCTCTTGTTAACAGACGAATCAGAGTTATCTGAAGAAGAAGTATTTGCATTGGAAACGGCAGTTTCCTCGGATGAAAATGAAGATGAAAATGAGATGAATAATCTCGAGGAAGATGATTCAATTCTTGACTCTAGGTGGGGCAGCCGCAAAGAAAATTATTATAATGCGGATAAAATTTCTAATTTAGATGATGCGAAGGAAGAGGAAGAAGAAGCATTAAAGTTGCAGAAGAAAAGAATTAGTCAAATGACTGAAGATGATTTCTTGGAATTAGATGGCGAATCATTGGAGTCCAGTATGGTATTTATTCATTATAATTTAATTGACCTTATTCCACACATACAACAATACGAATATAATTTCTCCTTAGATTGACAGAAGACAAGTTGAATGTACAGATAATGATTTCGACTTAATATCATTTGATAGGTAAGTCTTCAAAAAACGTGATTTAATAATTGATTTTATTGTCTCTATGAAATTGTAAAATTAAAAAGAGTTTAAAGGAAAGTTTTAGACCAAGAATGTCAAAATTTATCACGTGACGATATAATTAAAATAATACAGTCCGAATCACCCGAACTTATTGAGTTATTAAACGAGTTCGAGGAAAAATCCTCGATACTACGGAATACGGTAACACCTTTGTTAGAAAAGTAAGCTATATATATCCATATTGTTTTTTTTTTTTAATTTTTATATTAATAAGCTGTCTAAATTGTTTACTAGGGCTAGACAAAAAAATCTTATTCATAATCCGGCCATGAAGTTTATATCAATAAAACATCAAACATTAGTTCACTATTTAATAAATATTTCTTTTTATCTGGCACTTAAATCTTTTGGAACACAACATTTACGCGAACATCCGGTGATAGATGCACTAGTAAAATTGAACAAGACTTTAGGTAAATTAGAGAGATTGGAACGTAAAATTGGGGGATTTCTTGAATCATTTGTTGATAAAGAAGATTGGAGTGATCATGATAATAATATGGCAGATGATAATGATAAGGAAGAACCAATTGATCTCTATAATATGGTGAAAGAAGCTAGAAACGCTGCAAAAGAGCAGCGTAAGAAACTGTTTGAGATGGAACATAGTAAAAATAAGTAAGTTGTATATTGATCATTTTAGTTATATCACATGAATAAGAAGTTAAATTTCCTTTATTTGATAAATAGAGTTGTTTATGAAGAAGATATTATTCCTGAAGGTGCAAAACGTCAAATTAATTATCAGATTCTCAAGAATAAAGGACTCACACCTCATCGTAAAAAAGAGCAGCGAAATCCACGCGTTAAACATAGAAATAAGTATGAGAAAGCAAGAAAGAAAATCAAAAGTATTAAACGTGTAATTTCACAGCAAGAGGGATCTTATGGTGGCGAAAAAACCGGTATCAAGACTGGGTTGTCTAGGAGTATTAAGTTTGAATAAGTTTAACTTTTTTAATAGTTCAAAATATTTTGATATATCTTAAATTAAGCAATTTGTCTGTAAAACGATTAAATTAGTAACAATTCGCCGCAATTTCTTATGACAATGAGAAATATAATAATTCTTTGACGGCGATTTATTGATTAATTAATTTATTAGCTCTTTGTGATTAATGTTTTTAGCTTTTAATTAATGTTAAAAATTCCTCTCTAGTTTTTGCTTGATCTCTAAATACACCAAGCATGACACTTGTCGTGGTAGAACTTCCAGGTTTCTGTACTCCACGCATTACCATGCATAGATGACTAATGTTCCAAAAATTTTGATTCAAAATTTAACCAATATAATTATTAAAGAAAATATTGTATTCATTAGATAGTATATACAAAAAAATAAATACATACGTAGCTTCCATCACAACGGCTACACCTTGAGGTTTTAATATTTCTTGTAAAGTGACAGCTATCTGTTTTGTTAAACGTTCTTGAAGTTGAAGCCGTCTTGAAAACATTTCAGCGATTCGGGCAAGTTTTGATAAACCGAGAACACGACGATTTGGAATGTAACCTATACTGATCTGTTTTTTAAAGATTATGAGACATGTTTTATCTCAAGTTCAGCATAGACAGTAATATGATTAAGATTCTTGCCTTTCCAGTAAACGGGACTAAATGATGTTCACATAAAGAAAATACATCTATATTTTTAACAATCACCATTTCATCATGATCTATTTAAAAATGTTTATGATTAACATACATACAATATGCAGTTTATGTGCAACTAAAAAACATACCTTCTTCGAAAATTGCACCATTAACGATCTCTAATAATATTTGTTAAATCGAAGATCAATAAATAAATTCTAGAAATAATACAGATAAATTATATCAATTAGATTGCATACGTTCAATACTCTCTTCATAACCTTTAGAAAAGTATAATAATGCTTGAGCATATCTATCGGGTGTTTTCAGCAAACCTTGCCGTTTAGGATCTTCACCAATACATTCTATAATTGTATTAATGGCTTCAGAAAGTTTTTTTGTACGCTCGTCTTTTTGTTCTTGACTCTCGTTGAGCCGTTGCTTTGTTCCTATGCCTATTATTAAATGAGTATTATATAAACGTGTTTCTAAATAAATAAATAAAAATACCAACTCGGCCAACTTAAACCGTCTACGTCGATAGGATCCATTATTAAATTAAATATATATAAAAAAAAAATGATCGAAAAAAAAACCACTGATTATGTCATTATATTGATAATTTTGATACCACGTGAGGACCGGGCAGAAGAACTCTACTGGTCAACAAAAGAACTATTGCTACGTACTTCGTAGTTCCTTGGTTTTCAGTTATTATTAACAATTCATTTATCATAACACAGCCTCCCTAATAATAATAACAATAATAAAAAAAATCATATTACGAATTTTTATTACGTATTCATGTGATAGTTCCAACGCTCTAATTTTGGAGAATGCCGTTTGTAACGTAAATAACTAATTAAATATTACATAATAAAGATCTACTAACAAATTATTCCGATAACAAATTTGAAAATTGCGTTCGGAAATTTCACAATTTTGGAATATGTAGACAATTTTATGTGGATATCTGACATCACATCTGCAGGATTACACAATTTCAAATGGTAGAAAATAAGTTTAGTTAACTATTATTATTTATTATTTCCAATTGTTTCTTATAATAAGTAAAGAATTTAACCTGATCAGCAAATTATTGAGTTTAAAATTTGCTTTCCAGTAACACGTTAGTAACAATATGTATATTAGGGATGTTATCCTGCTTATCTAACTCTGTTCGCCCCTGTTTGAAACCCGAACCAGTTAAACACGAGTTTTAATCACGTGAATTTAATTATGTAAAACGAAACTCCTTGTGCTCGAGTCGAGTTCAAAAATCGACCTTACGAGCGATCTGTAATTTTTAATGCATATCGATATAACAGGTTTTGAATTAGCATGTTCAGGCAAGCATAATTAATACGTACGTACGTAGTCATATATATATCGATATCCAATTTTAAAGCAGAGTTTGAAATCCATTTTATGCGGGTGTTTCTGGAACAGTGTTCGGGTTTCGAAGCACAAACTAACCAGTTTAAGCAGGATAACATCCCTAATGTATATGTTTTTTTTTGAATATTAATGGTGCCCTAATGTATATGTTAGTATTGGGGTAAAAAGATAGTAATTATTTCTTATATTATTACCTTGCGCATCTCTAGTGGAAAAGGTATGATATCGCAGTCAAATATAGCTACATGCTATATAATAAAATTTAAAATAGTTTCTTATAGAGAACTATGAATATAGTCATATCCACCGATTGGATTTTTAGGCTATTAAGCACGTGAAGAATAACGAACGAAACATTCAATAAAAAAGTTTTCTTGCCCCTACATGAGATAAATAAGCAATAAATATTAAAAAAAATAGCTACTCTAAGCTGTAAACATCTCGGCAGCACCCAAAAGTTTAAGGTACGTACATTCCTAAAATCAACTACGTATTTACTATGATTAATAATCATTAAATATAACAGGCATTTGCTAATTTTCACCCGCCTTTTCTATTGACTGCACTATGTGACGATTCTTTTTAAAATTCATATCTTCTAGCAAAGGTTTTTTCATGACTATGTGATTAAACTTAATAAATTATTTTTTTATTTTAATTCTACAAGCTTGTAGAATTGAAATAAAAAAAAAGGTTTGACCTGGTAGTTATCGAGAAAATTTCATTTAAGGGTTTAAAAAACATCAAAAATCTTGAAGAAATATAAAAATATGGTTATGATTATGGTTTTTAACATTTAAATAAAAATTTCTCGATAACTACCAAACCAAATTTGATAAAAAGTTTTTATTTCAATCCCACAAGTCTGTATAATTAAAATAAAAAAAAAATTATCGAATTCGAATTGGTAATCGTTAAGAAATATGAGAAATATTGATTAAAATTTACTTCTCTTTTATAGGCGCTAAAACTTTGAACAAAAATTACTTGGCACATACCTGATCAAATTTGATCAAAATTTTTTTATTTTAATTCTGAGATTATAGAATTAAAATAAAAAAATTTGATCGAATTTGATCAGGTAAGTGCTGAGTCAAAATTTAGACATCTGTAAAAAAAAAAAGCTGTGGTTAATTTTTTTTTTAAAAATATTTCAGTCGATATTTCTCAACAACTACCAATCCAAATTTGATAATTTTTTTTTTATTTCAATTCTATAAGTTGAATAATTAAAAAAAAAAATCCATCAAATTTGGATAGATAGTTGTTGAGAAATCATCATTTAAAAGTTTAAATTAAAAAATTCTTTTTTTAAAAAATTTATATAATGATTTCTCAACAACTATCTATTTAAATTTGATGAACTTTTTTTATTTTAGTTATGCCAACTTATTGAATTAAATAAAAAAAGACTATTGAATTTGGATTGGTAGCTGTTGAGGCATATCAGAAATATGTGTATCAAATTTGTGATATAGCAAAAACCTTTAAAGTTCGTTAATATTAGGGTTGGCGTTTATAATAAGGTTGGAGATTAGGTGATTATAATATAAAATTACTCATGAAAACTTTTTGTTAGAGCGCTTAAGCTAATTTCTTATACAGATTTTTGAGAAATAAGTGATTTTTAACAAAACAAATATTTGGTTTGAATTTTTTAATTTGTTATATACTATGTTACACCACAACCTAGTACTTACCTATTTTTGGTATATATTATTAAAAAATATTGATTAAAAATTAAAAAATTTAATCGTAGTTTCTTTTTTTTTTTTTTTT